GCTTGTACCATTATTTACGTTGCCACATCGTCGGACCTTTCTTGTCGGTCGGTACGCAGATGCATCTGGATCACAGGATCATTTCTGCCACCAAGATTCAAGTCCTGGGGTGCGAAATCACACATGGGATAATAAAACCTGACTCTGAACGATTCCGCGCTCTACGAGAGTTATCTACATTTTTTGACATTCACCCACAGAGAAAAGTATTCGGAATGTTGGCGTATTATGCCCAGCGGATCCCTCGTTTTTCTGATAAAATCCACATTTTGATAAACAACCGGACATTCCCACAACCCAGAAAAGTACAGGATGTGTTGGAAAACATGAAAAAATAGTTAGAAAAAGCCGCTGTGTTTACAATCTATTATAACCGGCCCTTGATCGTCGAGACAGACGCGTCCGAAATTGCCATAGCTGTTACGCTCAACCAGAACGGAAGGCCAGTGGCCTTTTTTTCTCGCACTTTATCTCCTAGTGATCAACGTCATTCTGCTATCGAAAAAAGAAGCTTGTGCCATGGTCGAATCTCTAAGAAAATGGAAACATTACTTACTCAACAATCATTTCACTCTCATCACTGACCAACGTTCAGTAGCATTCATGTATGATGAACAACACAACGGAAAGGTGAAAAATGACAAAATTAAAAGGTGGAGACTGGAACTCTAGTGTTATCATTATGACATCCGGTACCGTCCCGGTGACCAAATTAAAGTTGCTGATACACTCTCCCGGAACAACTGTCTCTCTACTCTGTCACACACTGACTTGAAACATTTGCATAATACACTCTCTCACCCCGGTATTACACGCATGTTACATTTTGTTCGTTCTAAAAATCTACCATTCTCACTTGATGACATCAAAGCCATCAACAGTTAGTGTGCAATGTGTGCTGAACTTAAGCCCCGCTTTTCAAAGAACATTTTGGAAAACTCGTTAAAGCGACGCGACCATTTGAACGAATCAGTATTGACTTTATTGACTTCACTCCCATCCATATCCCATAACAAATATTTCTTGACGATGATTGACGAACATTCACGTCTCCCCTTTGCTTTTGCCTGTTCGGACGTTTCTTCGTCAAGGGTTTCAACCAATTATTTTCACTGTTTGGGTTACCATCATATATCCATTCCGATCGCGGAGCATCCTTCATGTCTGATGAGTTGCGAAGTTTCCTTTATGCCAAAGGAATCGCTACCAACCGAATGACCCCATATAATCCGCGCGGTAACGGACAGGTAGAACGATTAAACGGCACTTTATGGAAAGCCTTCACACTACTGCTGAGGTCTCGACAACTGGACATCGCCCAGTGGGAAAGTGTACTTATGGATGCCCTGCATTCTGTCCGTTCTCTAGTGTGTACTACCACCAACGAGACACCTCACGAAAGATTCCTAAAGTTCAACCGCAGGTCCACCACTGATATTTCCTTTCCAATGTGGTTATCGATTCTAGGTCCTGTTTGGCTCAAAAAGATGGCACGTTCCTCGAAATATGACCCTTTGGTGGAAGAGGTAGAACTCCTAGACTGCGACCCTCAGTACGCATGTATCCGTTTCCTTAATAACAGAGAGGAAACCGTTTCCATAAGACATCTTGTTCCTAAAGCAATTGACACAGACAACTCTTATTCGGACCAAGCGAACCAAAATATTAACACTGACGACCACTCGCAGTCGTATCCCGCAGCCAACTCTTCGCAACTAGGAACCACCCTTTCACAGCTCCTGTCCAACCGGAGTTAGCTACTCAGCCAGATCTGCAATCTGCAAAATCTGAGAAACAACGTGTTCACCCGTACAACTTGCGGGACAGAGAGGCTTAGAATGAATCCCAAGCGCCACTGGTTTTCTGTTCTGCGGGGGAGAATGTCATAAACTGATGCGTTACCCTATTTCACATGGAACTTTATTAACTCTCTCTTTTCTTACATTGTGGCTTTTGTACAAGGATGGTTAGAAGATCAAAGCCTATATACGGCCAGACTCCTCTTCTGCATTACTCCGCATCTCTTGAATATAACACGCAGTACACATCTAATAGTTGCACCTGGTGTTCTTCTTAATTGTTCACAACTTTTGGTCAAATATTGCACGTAGTCTGGCAAATGTTATCGAAACCGAACGCAATTTCTCGTCGCAAAAGAACGCGCCGACGGTCAATTTCTTAAAATACGGAGTGGATACTCAATTTCAACACTTCTAAATTTTTCCTTCGAAGGGGATCAAAACCATTTTGGATAAATTCCTCGGTGGTCCACTGAGATTGTGGACGGTAGAGAACCATACGGGCTCTTGTGTGTGTGTGTGTGTGTGTGTGTGTGTGTGGTATAGACACTAAAGAAACATGCTTTCATTTCAAGCAACACTGCCACCTACGGCGATGGTTCAAATGCTAGAGGTACACCATCCAAACAACGCAAATCTAGGTCACATAGCGGAGAGATTTTGTTTGGGAACCGGGGTCTTTCATGTGGAATTAAATTCACTCGGACCAAATAATCATGGACATCAAAAGCCAAACAGTAAAGCGAACAAGCTTGTTTTCGTAACTTCGTCTTCAGGCCAATAACCAGTGCAATTATGGGCCACCTCGCTGATACCGGACATCAGCCAGATAACGATGCATTCAAATTCATCTACTAAGTACTCCAAAACAAACCAAAGCAAGTTCGGAAAAG